CCCCTATCGCGCCCTACCCCCATATCACCGAACTAGCCATCATCACACCCTCTCGCACACCTGCAACCTACCCTGCTACTGCCGGCGCCCCCTGCTGCTACTGCCGGCGCCCCCTGCTGCTACAGCCGACTCCGCCTCCCTTTTCTTCTGCAACCAGATCCTGCAGCTGCAAAGAGAGATCTTGCGCCCCATGTTGCAACCAATTGAGCATGATGGCAGATCAGCGTCCTTTAGGTTTTATTTTGATTTTTGTATAAATAGGAGAAGTTTGTTGAGTTAGGGGTGGGTTGATTTTGGGTCTGTTTGGTTGGGGAGTTTCGGCTGAGCTTCGAGAGTAATAAAAGGGTTTTTTCTGGTTGATTTTCGGAGCTGGAAGGGGATCTCTTCTGGTATTGAGGCCGGGGTTTCTACTTTTGGAGTTTGATTTAGGAGTCATTGTTCTGGGTTTCGGGGAAGGAGAGAGAAGAAAACCGAGCTGATTCCGGCGACATTTCAACCTCCTTTTGCTAGGTATTTTCCTACAACAGAGGAGTCTTTTTGGGGAGGCAGTGAGGGGAATGATCTAGGCTTGATCTCGTGGGTGGGATCCGTCAGATCGGACTCCGATCTGTTACCCAAAAAGCTCCGCCGTGTTTGCTTCTTTTGCCTTTCTGTTTCCGTGACATGCTTTTGTGATGTTTACGTTTGTATATGTTTATTGAAAATCAATGAAAGATAAAAAAATGTTGCAGTTCATTTTGTCTGATGAATGTGCTTTCCTTTTTGTTTTTCGTTGATGAATGTGATTTTTTTATGATGAATGTGTTCTTTCTTTTGAAAATGACGAACCGTAAATTTACTCTTTTTTTTAGGTTCGATCTGTTTTTGCCTGTTTTAGTTGATGGGTTGTGTTTTGTGGGTCGGGTCAACCCGACCCAACCTAAAAAAAAAAAACTAAAAAATGTTAAAAAGAAAAAAGTATATATATATAAGTTTTTATTATTTAATTAGTTGAGTTAGTTTAATTTATGATTAATGAAATTAATTAATTTTAATCAAAATAAATTAATCATATTTATGGAAATTTAATTTGAGATAATTAGATTTATTTGATTATCTTAATTAAAGATTAGTAAATGTGATTAATTAATTTTAATTAATTTTAATTAATGTTAAATTAATTATTTAATTAGACTAATTATCTCAATTAATTAATTTCAATTTTCAATTAATTTTAATCTTGGTAAAAGTCAAAGTTTTCTTTTATTTTATCTCAATTTCACCCGCAAGCTTTTGTAATTAAGCAATTCAGTCCATGAGTTTCAACTCTTTTCAAATCAGTCCTTCATGTTTTGAATTTAATCAAATCAGTCCTCCATGTTTTGAATTTAATCAAATCGGTCTTTTATCTTTCGAATTTAATCAAGTTAGTCCCTTAACTTCTTGTTCATGTTATTGTGTATGCATGTTCTTGAGTTTGTCTATTTCAGTCCAAAAACCTAAAAAATGTTTCGATTTAGCTTCTTTTTTTCCAAGTTTACCTATTAAGACTCAAACATAAACATGATGAAAAAGTTGAATAAAAAACCCCAATTTTAAAGTATGCAACCGTGTTTAAACGGAGGATTGTGAGGTGCGCGTATGCCCTTCCTCACTCCTAACCGCACCCCCGAACCCCGATCTCTGCGCAAACTTGTTTTAGGTGACTTGTCCCACCTTACAATTTGGACGAGTGGCGACTCCCCTTCTCTTATTATATCTTCACACTTAATCCCATTTTTAAGTGGTCGTCAACAGTCGACAAACCCGAACATGGCGAGTTGCTCCGAGGTAACCAGGGCTTCTAGATCTATTAGGTTCTCTCTCCTCGCTTACTCAAGTAGCCGATTTTTCATATCTATATCACGGGGCAGCAGCTGGGGGTAATTGACATGAGCATTCGGCGTGCGCCATTCTGATAGCCGAGCAGCAAGGTCATTGCTTATCCTTTCTGTTCGCGTGTCATGAACGAAAATAAACTGCCTCTTCCACCTCGCCACTTTGTTCCTCACATTTTTGAAGAGTTGGCTCTTCTCCCTCCCAGAGAGGTAGTACCACCTGGCACCTCCGGAGTTCGGGCACAGCCGACACTGAAACAGCCACCTGAATACTATTGCTTTAGCTGGTACCTCCAGCTTTGCGCATAACAGCATAAAGCCTATGATGAACCTTATGCTGTTGGGCGTCAGTTGCGTCAGGGCCAGTTCATAATCCGCCAGCAGATTGAATACCAGCCCGGGCAAGGGAAATCGCAGGCCAGCCTCAAAGTGGTCCACGTACACTGGGATCTAGCCCGTCTGTGACACTGTGCACGCCCTCTCATTCTTCGTGCCTGTTTGGAGCAGTATTGTCTGGGGAATGTGGTACGCCCTCACCAAATCCTCCAGTTTCTTCAACCCGCTTACTGAAAGCGCGTTATCCGCTACTTTATGGTGAAGCGCCGCCCTGAATCTAAAGCCAGCAGGCAAGTCCTTGGGCGCCTTTCGCAGATTACTCAACCTGCCCGCGATTGTCTTGCTTTCCCACTCCCCAACTACAGGCCGATCTGAGACATGATTAACCACATCCCCCGTCCCTTCCTCACGGCTGGGTGTCTCCTCTGAGGACGAGCTGCTAGACGAGGCAATAGGGTGGTCGCCACCGTTGTCCCTAGCGCTCGAACTGGCGCTGCTCTCAGGCGCCAGTGTTTCCGGCAAGTCCTGCAACTCAGGCGGCATTATCATCGTGATAGGCTCCACTGATAAAACCCCCTCCTCTTCTCCATCTTTGCCCTGGTTACCTCGTAGCTCTGTAAATCCCCTAACGGAATCCATTTTACCTGAAAATGGTGGTCTGGTGCGGGGTCTTATGCTCTGTTCTTCACGCTGGAGTGTTCTACTATAGAGAGTTTCAACAAGTTCAAGCAAACAGTGAAGTGAAAATGGAAAGGGGAACGGTTACGTAAAGAATAAAATTGAAATTGCTGTGTTAATTGCCGTACGCGTGTCTCTGACGTACCAGTTAGCTTCTCACGCGTGGCAAGCGCTTAAGCCCCTTTCGTATAGCGTGCGCCGGTTTTAACTGTCGTGTCCCCTTAAATGCCGAACCAGCATTTATGACAGGGAAGACAGAGAGATACGGGGAGATCAATCGTATCTCCTCAGAGATCTAATGGATTTGGAGATTTTCCAAATCCACAAGATTCAGATCGTAACGGCCGATATGTACCCTATCCCGTCACATCAGCTCGCCATTGTGAGCACACTTACCAGGTCGGCACAACTATGACAATTCGTTCACAATTTTCCCCAAAATTCAGTTCGTCACAGGTTGGTCTGTCCCCTTTCCTGTCCATTTCAGCTCGTCAAGACGCTCAAAGACCTTTTCACAAATCAATGGATATCTAAGGTCGCTCTATTTAACCTCACTGCACATGCGAATTGATAAAGCATAATAATCAAAAATCTCAGATCGTGTTGCGGGTGAGGTCGCATAGTCTCAGCTCGTCATTATGATTGCATAACAGCATCATCGTCGCTTCAGTACCCTCGGTAGTAGTCGTGGGTCAGGTCGTCACGCGCTCTCCTGCGCTTCTGTTGACGTTGACGAGCTCGCTGAAATAGCGAATAGCACCTTGTGTACACAGCTATTCCCTGGGCGAGCTCATCTGTTGTGAACCACTTCAGCTCGCTGTTATAACAAGCCCACACTAGTGTGGTTATGGATATCAGCTCGCCTGCACGCTTTCAGGCTCACGAGCTCGTCTCTTTTCGTGCCACCCTTCAGCTCGGCCCTCGTCGAGACCGGCCGCAAGCTGTTAAGGCTGTCCATCATAGTCACCAGCTAAAGCATTGGCCCATGGACACATCCAACCCAGTTCGTCAACCGAACACCGGGGGGGAGTAATGTTGGAATAGGCCCTGGAATAGGCCCAACATCCAAACGGGGCTGTATACAACAGGCCTGGGCTACCACCCGCTAACCCAAGTTGAGAGAACACTAATGCAAGCACACCCACGTGACCAGCACCACGTGGGCCAATGGGAGGCTTACATGTACAGATGCATGTCAGTACTTGGGGCTATAAATACCCCCCAACTACCTCCGATGAAGGTAATTAATCTCTACGTTTCTCTCTCTGCAATTACTCTTTGAGAGCATCTCTCTCTAGAATATTGAGGATTGCTGACTTGAGCGTCGGAGTGTTTTCCTCGAGGAAACAACCTCGGGATTTTCAGGTGTAGAAGCAGCTGAGGACTTCAACAATGTTGGATTGCAAAGCTGCCCAAACAACTTTAAAATTAGTTAGATGCTTGACGATTTACTAGTGATTTTATGCTATGTTTTTATAAATGATATGTGGCACTGACATACATGGCAAGAGTTAACAATAAATATACCATATATGTATTTGCACTAAGTAATATTTTTGAACAAAAAATAGCAGACTCTGCAGTTTGGGGTAGAAGAAGGGTTCCTACAAGCCTAGTCCAATCGAATTCCTAGATACTCCTGCTCAAGCTAATTATGAATATTCAAGTTCAAATTGAGCTTGAGTAGTTATTCACTGAAGCTTAAAACAGTTGAAGTCATGCTCAAACTCATAAGTATTCAAGGGAGTTCAAATAAGAGAGTACTTGAGTTTGAATTTGAGCTTCTTCTTTTTCTTTTTTTTTTCTTTTTTGTAATTTTAAATTGTTTTAATAATTAATTAATAATTAAATCATAAACTTTTTTTTTTTATTTACATTTTTTC